GATGTGAATTGGAGCTATAGAAATAAACTGAATAGAATTGAATTTGGATTTAATTTTAAACTGTTTTAAAGATTTGACTTGGCACAAAATGTTTGTTTCATCTGCAAAATATTTTTTTATTTAATTGACGTCTTAAACATTATTTCTATAATAATGGCTTCCAACAGAGTATTGGGTGCCTCCACATGTCCTGTACAAAAGTTTTTCTTTTTGAGTTTTAATAATTTATGGAAAAAAGGAACCAATTCTTAGACACACATTAACTAAACGCGTTTCATAGCAGCACAAAACAATAACAGAGATCAAGAAGAGTCAGACCAATCAGAACATGTTGCGTCTTCTTTTTATTACTTTTCATTTGCGTTCCTGATTTAATCACATCGTAAACATTTAGAATATGCTTCATTAATCCACATTACAGAAACAGTATTTCTGTAACCAAAGGTCCAGCTAATGAGATGCAGTTATTGCTTTATAATCCCAGGCCCAGTAACTCCACACAGAGCAGCTGTGTCCCTGCGTCTGGTCACTAGATGGCGCTGTTGTCCGGGTTTAGGAAGAACCGTTTGATCAAATCTGTGCGGCTGAGTTTTAGTTACTAAATAAATCTGTTTGCTTTTATTAACCTGGTCTTAAATGCTGATTGGGTCAACCATAATCTCGCGATGTCTTGTCGCTGTTTCTGTCCAGGGCACGTGCGTATTTTGGCTTGAAGTTTCGTTATGAATGACGTATGTGACGTAGGAGAATCGGCGTAGCGCGGCGCGCGGCGTAGCGTGGCTCTCAGACTGGTTCGGTGACTTTTCTCAGCAGCTGTGGGAGTTTTTTCCTCGGGAGGAAATGTCAGCGAGCTCAGACGTCCTGACCGGAGCAGCGGAGGCGAACGGCGGCGCTATGGGTGAGTTCTGCCGGCGGCGGGAAGCCGCTCTGCCCGCCGGAAGAGAAGCTCCAGAGGAACTTTTTACATTTGCTGCGAAATGTTTCCGAAGTTGTCGAGACTAAAGCCGCGAGTTTGGAGCCAGATGTTGGTGAGCTTTAGGAGGAGAAACGAAGCTGCTTCTGGACCTGAACTCATCCTTCAGCTCCGGGGGCCCAGCAGAGCTGTCAGGGGCCCAGAGCCCTGCAGAGCTGTCAGGGGCTCCAGGGCCAGGGGCCCCAGCAGAGCTGTCAGGGGACCCAGGCTCCAGGGTCAGGGGCCCAGAGCCCTGCAGAGCTGTCAGGGGCTCCAGGGCCAGGGGCCCAGAGCTCAGCAGAGTTCTCAGGGTCCCCAGGCTCCAGGGCCAGGCAGAGCTAGAGCCCAGCAGAGCTGTCAGGGGCTCCAGGCTGCAGGGCCAGGGGCCCAGAGCCCAGCAGAGCTGTCAGGGGCTCCAGGGCCAGGGGCGGTGCTACGATCACCCAGCTCTGGGGGCCCAGCCCTACCAGCCTGGATGATTCCACCCTGGATGATTCCACCCTGCTAACCCTCAGACTTTAACTAGGCCATTCTAGAGGTAACCTGGATGCTGAAGCTTAGAGCCACAGATGGAGGGTCAGACGTTTCCCTCCAAAGGAAGGATTGACTGGAACAGAAAGTCCTGAAGCACAGCCTGAGCATCATCCTTCCACCTCCGTGTCTGACTGTCATCTCATCCTCTTTAAAGCAGGTTACCAACCTGATCTTTGGGGTCAGCAGTGGTTTCTCTCTCTGGCCCTGAGGCCTGCAGAGCTTTACAGCTTTCTGGGTTCTTCTCCTTGAACGACAGACTCCAGGTGTTTCATCTGTTCTTCAACTGTTTTAGTGATGATGATGAGGATCTTTTGGCCTACTTCCTGCTGCCAGACAGGTGGTATTCAAGCGATTTCTCGGTTATGCTGGTTAGATGATGCTGGAAGTGTTTGGTGAGACTAAAATAAATGAAACTGGGTCTTTGATTCACGATAAAACGCAACAGCAGACGATCTTTTTCACAGAAGGCCTTTTCTCATGATAAACGAGGCAGCTGCAGCCATGCTGCTTATTACTCAGGTTATCTCTAATGATTTAAGTTACTCCATGTTCTTTCAGTCAGAAAGAGAAACGTCCTCTTTCACAGCACCTTTTGCTTCAGGAGGCAGAGATCTGGAAAAATATGAATAAATAAAGCAAAATGGAGGATTTTAAAACTAATGAAATAAAATAAGTTCAGTTAAATAGTTTTTAGATGTGTGGAATAAAAACAAAGACGACTACAGCATTAGAACCCCAGTGGGCCTCAGCAGATGGCCGCTCACACTGAGCCTGGTTCTGCTGGAGGTTTCTTCCTGTT